CAGCAGGTTCCCCTGTTCAGCTGGGTTGAAGCTCCATCAGCCCCGCTGCAGAAAAGCTGTGCTGGAAGGAGGTGGTTGACCACGGGTGATGGAAACAGGCATGCATCAGAAGCGGCTCTGCCAGGGGTCCATGCCCGCCCTCGCTCAGTGGGATCCATGCCAGTCCTGCCCTCTGGCTGGAATTCGGGCAGACAGCGATGTTTGGGTGCCGCCGCACCTCCCGTTTGCCAGTGGGTGAAACGGCGAGAGCTGTGGCATGGCTGTGGACAGGGCGGTCAGGTTTATTGTGCAAGAACACTTGTAGAAAACTACAGCCCTGAAGGCAAGCCAGCAGCCAAGTGCAATATCTGCAGGGGAAACTGAGAAACACCATGGGACCAGCTTGGCTCCGCTCACGGCCAGAGGAAAATTCTACAGAGAGCAAACATCACAGCTCAGAGCCAGGGCACAGCCAGCATGGAATCAAGTAGAAGTGCTCTAAGCAGCAAACACCAAGTGAGCAGGAGATCCCAGCCTCAGCCCAACATCCTGTTATTTGGTCTTCGGGAGCAGATCCGAGGGCGAGATTAGGGCTGTGGTCCTCCTGGAGCAGCGCTGGGGAGGAGCGGGAGCCCAGCCACTCTGCTGACAGCGCCTCGGGGCACAGCGCAGTTCCCCTAATTCCTCAGTCAGGTATCTCCCTCCCTAATTAAGGCTTGGAAGAGAGCCGTCCTTTCATGTATATCCAGGTATCTTTTTTTGGTTTCCCTTCATGTAGTGAAATTTGCTTTGATCCTGGTGTGCTCCAGGGGCTGGTCATGGCTGCACCATCCCAACGTGCATTTATCCCAGCTGCTTCGGGCATGTGGGTCCCCAGTGGGTCCCCAGGCCCTGTCCTGTGCCCAGCAGGACACATGGATGCTGCTCCCCACTGTCCTCAGCCCCCAGGAGGAATGCCTCAGGGAGATGAGACCCATGCTGGGAGATGGCCAAGCCAGAGGAAGGACAACACAGCGGCTGTCCCTTGCCTGTCCCCACTACCCATGGTCCAGGCCAGAGGGTGACAGCCAGGTCCATCCCTTGGGGTCCCTCCTTTCACGCAGACATACCCAATGGGCCCCACAGTGGGGTGCCTGCCACCTCCCCAGCACTGGCCCTCCTCCTGCAGCGCTCGCTCCTGCTCCTCCTGCTCTGTCTCTGCAGCCTGAGGCTGGGAAGCCCAAAGTGCTGCAGGGTGGCTTGGCCACACTGAGGGCACTCAGCCCCACTGTCCCCAGCGGGTGGACCTGCCACCTCCCGCCAGGTCGCACCCCAACTCCCGGAGTCCCCCGCAGAGCAGGCACGGCCGCCTTCTGTGCAGGCACGGCCATGGGGCCTCAGAGCAACCCCAGGCAGGGTTCCACTTTCATGGGGAATGCTGCTGAAACAGCAAAGTCCCCACCTCAGGGTCATTGCCTCTGCACAGGAACAGGACAGAGAAGTCCCCCCTTCTCCCTGCGGGACAGCTGTGGCGAGGGGGTGTGGGCAGTGGGAACGGCAACATGGGTCCCTCTGGCACTCAGCGCTGCCTGCTCAGCCCAAACCTGCTCGGTTCAGGGCGCTTCTCCCCTGGTCCCACTTCCCCTGCAACGTGCGTGGGGGGTGCCTGGTCAGCCCCACGCATTCAGCCTGTGCACATTTTGGGGGCTTTGGGGTTTGGGCATGTTGCTTCCCACAGCAGTGGGTAAAGCTGGGCAGGCTGCTGGAGACAGGGTCACCACCGTTTGCATCGCAGGCGGCCGGAGCCCCGCTGAGGGGCGCAGCCCATGTGCCTGGGCTGGTTTTGCTGAGGACATGACTTTAGCGAGGAACTGTAGAACCTGAAAAGTGCCACAAGCTTCACGCTGAGATGGTGTTTTCCTGCAGGGGGGAAGGTCATTTCACGGAAGAGGGATTGGAGTCAATGCACTGTGAAGAACCTGGAGGAAACTGCACTCCAGGGGCTGGGGACAGAGCTGATGGGATTCCAGACGTGGTTCTATTTTGCAACACGCTCCGTGGACGCCTGCCATCAGCACTGTTACTCCTCGACATTCCTGGGCGCACGGGCAGCCTGAGCCCACCGCCGCTGTGCCAGCATGCGGTGACCCGCTGCGGCACAGGGACACGGGATCAAAATGATGGCTCAGGCCACCGGAGCCTTCCCTGCTGCTCCCAGCCCTCCATCCTCACCCCCAACCTCCAGTTTCACCTGGTATGTGTTTGGGGAGAGCAGGGAAGGGCGCTGGCTGCCAGCACCCATGGGGATTGCCCCCCTTTCTTTCGAGAAGCCCCGTCCCAGCCGGGAGGCTGCAGGCAGCAGCTGGGTGCTGCCCCTCAACCTGGTGGCGGGGCCACCCTGGGGTGGCCACGGTCCTGTCCTGACCCCGGGTCTCGCGGGACGGCGGTGGGCTTGGCGGGACCCCAGCTCTGTTGTGCGGCCGCCCTCGGGCCCACGACGGCTCCTCCGGTTGCTGCTGCGTGTGGTCCTCGCACGGCCCCCGCGGGAGGTGGAGGGGAAGTTTGTTATTTTTCATGGGTGATTTTGCTCGGCGGTCAGGCGTGACGGGCCAAACCCTCCAG